AAAGGTCTGGACTGCAGGCAGGCCAATTCAGCACCTGGTCTCTTCTTCTGCAAAGCCATGCTGTTGTGATGGATATAGTATGTGGTTTAGGATTGTCTTGTTGAAATAAGCAAGGCCTTCCCTGAAAAAGACATTGTCTGGATGGGAGCATATGTTGTTTTCAAACCTCTATATACTGTTTAGCATCGATAGTGCCTTTCCAGATGTGCACTAATGCAACCCCATACCATTAGAGATGTAGGCTTTTGAATTGTGTGCTTCAAATTTAAATTTTGATTCATCTGACCACAGAACAGTTTTCCATTTTGCCTCAGTCCTTTGGCCCAAAGAAGATGGCAGCGTTTCTGGACCGTGTTGACATATGGCTTCTTCTTTGCATTATACAGCTTTAACATGCATTTGTGTATTGCACAGCGAACTGTGTTCACAAACAGTGATTTCTGGAAGTGTTCCTGAGCCCATGTAGTGATTTCCAGTACAGAATCATGCTTATTTTTAATGCAGTGCCATCTGAGGCCCGAAGATCACGAGCATCCAATATTGACCGTCGGACTTGTCCCTTGCATACAGGGATTTCTCCAGATTCTCTGAATCTTTTGATGATATTATGTACTGTAGATAGATTGCCATTTTACGTTGAGGAACACTTTTCTGAAATTGTTGCAAAATTTTAAGACACACATTTTTCACAGATTGGTGAACCTCTGCCCATCTTTGCTTCTGTGAGACTCTGCCTCTCTAAAATGTTCTTTTTATACCCAGTCATGTGAGTTAGTTGCAAATTGCTCTTGCAGCTGTTTTTATTAGTACCACTTACTTTTCCAGCCTTTTGTTGCCCCTGTCCCAACCTTTTTGAGATGCGTTGCTGCCATCAGGTTCTAAATGAGTTAATGTTTTTCATGAAATAGTAAAATGTCTCACTTCTAACATCTGATATGTGTTCTATGTTCTATTGTGTATAAAATGATTTGAGATTTGCAAATCATTGCATTGTTTTTATTCACATTTATTTTCATTTTACACAGCGCCACAACTTTTTTGGAATTGGGGTTGTATTGTTTAGGCGTCTATATTATTTTCAGTTAAATATCAGTTTTCTGTTTTTTTTTTCTGATGCTGAAACATGAATAACTTATACTTAAAGGATGTTTTCATGGGGAAATTGAGTAAATGAAAGGTGGTTTCTGACTTTTGTACTGTATGTACCCAGAGAAGGAACTAAGTTTATACAACCCCACAATGGCTTTTGCAGAAACAGCCACAAATGATGTGTACAAAATTCACTGTACAACAGTGAGAGCTTCCTTCATTAATAATACAGCAGTATCCTCGGGGTACTAACACACATATATTTATTCAGTATTATTAGCCCGATTTGGCAAAAATATAGCTCTGCATAAGTATTACAATTCTGATTGAGTGAGGGATGCAGTATACCACTTATCGTCTGAATAAAAAGGACAGAACTATTGTTTTTGATAATGTGCTATCGGTTGCTGTGTTGTTTCTGATATCAAGCATAAAAAAATTGAAAAAAGCCCAAGAAACCCATCCCATGGGGCATACTGCATTATTTATGAGCAAAGACACAGGATCTACCCACATACAAACAAAACATTTAGTGAGAAGAAAAACATGCTTTGAAAAGCTCAGAATAAGCATTGTTCTATTTTTCCTAGAACTATGTCAAATAACCGCAATAAAAAGAATAACAGAGAGAGAGAGAGAGAGAGAGAGAGAGAGTATGAAAAAAAACGGTAGCATTTCACGCGGCGCCTCCACCATCGTGTCCCATGAGTGAAGCTTTCATCCGTTATGTCAAACGTGAAAACGCTGGAAGAGAAGTCATGCTGTGCAACACTCGCCCTGGAGCGAAGGCTTTCTGTCTCACACACAGGCAAAGTCAATGGGAGCAGGGAAGTGCTTTCGAGTCAGAACTTACAGCTCCCCTACGTTTGCTTCACGCATTTGAAGTGCTTCATTTGTCAGAAACAGACACACGTGTTGCGGAGAATGGAATTGTCTCTCTTGTGCGCCGGAGTGTGAGGATCTTAATATCTTGCCAGAATTGCCGCACCAGGTGACACAGTCGCTAACGTGCTAACACAATGTCATTTGCTGTGACATTAGCGTTGTTGATGGTTGCTGCCTTCCATTTCTAATGTGCAAAATCTGAGCATAAGGCCTGTCGACAGTTGATACCAAGATCTGTCAGCTTTGAGAATAATTGTCAAAGCCTGTGTGCAAAGCAACCATGGTTCAAAACCTCCAGCTTTATTTAAGGCTCATATTAAAGCCAGTCCTGTTGCCCTCAAACATATCCCTTCACAGATCATCTCACTGATCTAACATCTCATCCTTTAACAGTTGGCTTACCTCCATGGTGCAGTTTTCCTAATTAAGTGTAAATGAAAGACCAAACAAAGCAACCAAGGGTGACCTTTGTAGTTCTACTTGCACCTCATACACTAGTTCATTGCTCCAGATCAAATCATAGACTAATATTACTTTATATATTGGACCAGTTTAGTAGGTATATCTACATTATACATATATATACACTCATTTTTACATTCATACCTACCCCAACAGGAAACCCTTCAGGACCTTCTAGGCCTTCAGAGAATGTATGTGAAATAAAAAATACATGGTTTTTCTATTTTATTAATAGAATCATCATGCTTGTTTTATTTACACTCTGCTAGTATTGCAGTAATACTCTTATTTCATTGTTGTGTTTTGGTTGGAAACAGCAGGGTTAAACACCCAATGGAACATCATCCAATCAGAATTTTTCTCAACAGTATCTAGATAGATACAGTTAGGTTACCTCTCCCATTGGTTAGTCCGAAGTCCTAACAAGTCAAATCAACCATTAACCTAATTAGGAAATGACAGTGGAATCAACCAATTACATTTCGATTTCTAATTGGACCAATTTTGTGAGGCCTTCAGGAAACCCTAGATACGTTACTAACTGTGAATACAATTGATCACGTGATCAATCGGTCACATGTTAGAAATGGAAAACAGCGGCTGCTCTGAGCCAGGGCTCTTTACTGAAGGAGTCACTGCTACACGGTTGTTATGTTAAAATGTCTGTTACGAGCTTCAAATAAAACACAGAATGACCAAAAATATTTATGTAAATCACCATTAGCTTAGCTCTAACATGCTACTGGAATCCCATAGGAGTGCTATCAGAAATTAACATTATTATAAAGGTGTTATTTTTCCTCATTTTTTGACCAAGCTTTGACATTTATTGGCCAAACTGAAGCCCTAACTCTAGAAGTCATGGTTCACCACTGACCAGCCATATACATAGGTTTATACGTTGTAGGTTTACTATTACTGACCTGTAGGCCGTCTGTTACTGCACAGTTTAACCAGTTGTGTTAACTGGGCAACTGGACACTGTGAGTTTTTGATATTGTATGACATACTGTTATTCTTAAAAATGAACAAAAGCACACCACATAGCTAAAGAGATAACATCATGTCAATGACTTGAGGCACCAAGTTCAAGTCTTATGAATGAATTATCTACATAACTGTCATTTTAACAGAAAGTGATCTTGTTCATGGGTCACCAGAAACTAGACCGGGCCACATGTTTCATTAATCATAGAGTCATGGAGGTTTTGTTTTTTGCATTGTTCAATAGCTAAGCTTGTTGTTATTTCAAAAAATCCTTAATTAAGAAAGTAACTGTTGTATTTTATTCATTTGTTCAATTCAATAGATCTGGCTCAGTTCATTCATAAACTCAATTTAGCCCTCATCTGGGTTAATTTACTGGAGTAGCAAGCTAACAGAGGATAATGCCAACCACATAAACTAACAAAAGAATAACACCATCCCTTTAACACAGACTGTAGCTACTTACCACCATAGAACCACCACTGACCAGATATTTTTTAGGTGGTAGACCATTCCCAGTACAGCAGTGATGCCACACATGGTCATGGCAAGTGTCTTGTGCTGGTATGAATGCATCAGGGACGGTGGTGTTGCTGAGACTTTAAAACACTGTACACTTCTTGAGACTGTGGCTTATAGTTCGGTGGACCACCAGTGCTGTTTTGATTGGGAAATTGAGTAAATGAAAAGTGGTTTCTGACATTTGTACTGTATGTACCCAGAGAAGGACTAAGGTTATACAACCCCACAATGGCTTTTGTAGAAATAGCCACAAATGATGGTACCAAAAAACAAAGCAGTCCATGTGCCTAGCATTCACCGTACAACAGCAAGAGCCTGCTTCATTAATAATACAGCAGCATCCTCAGGGTACTACCACACATATATTTATTCAATATTATTAGCCCGATTTGGCTCACGAATACTTTTAATACCATTGATATGAATATATAGATATCACTGTATAACACTCTTGATACCACCCTGTCCTTCAGTGGAAAGGGACCACCATAGAACCTATTATATAGGTGTATTATTTAGACCATTCCCAGGGCAGCAGTGACGCCACACATGGTCATGGCAAGTGTCTTGTGCTGGTATGAATGTATCAGGGACTTTAAAACACTGTACACTTGTTGAGACTTTGGCTTATAGTTTGGTGGACCACCAATGCTGACCGAGTATTACTACTTGAATGGTGTTCTTTTACAGTGTCAGGACATTGTCAAAATTGCCAGTACGAGCTTGCAGAGATAAATTTTGCTATGGCAATATGCATTAATTTGTATTCAGTCAGATACACATATAAAATATAGAATTTTTCTCTCAATTTTCCTCAATTGTTTTTAGAGAATTTCTCTTCATCTGAGAAATCAAAACTGCCATGACTCTCTCTGGAAACTACGGTATATATTCGAAAGGGAAAAAAAATATGTTTCTGCTTCTGGTTCCAGCTGTGCACGGTTTTGCTCTGGTTAGTTGTCTGTCAGTTAACTGACAACTTAATGTTCACGTAAAATGGGAAACACAGCGATGCGGAACGCTGTCTGTACAGGCAGAGTTTCTATACGGACGCTTTTTGATGCGGAGGAGTTGATGTATTCAGGTCGATTTAGCGAACGTGTTGTCATGTTGTTTGACGCTGTTTTTGAAATGATGCAAACGATTTAAAGGACGAAATAACTCACATTACGTCGCTGCGTAAGGATGGTTTCAAATACAGTGTCTGACTACCAGTGAGTAAATGTGCGCGTCTCCCTGCTGTGTATTTTTGCTCGTTCTGGAATAACATTAAATAAGTTCACAGTAAATGCAGTCAGACTGTCAGTCGTTCGTCTTTAAAATGTCAGATACAAAATAAACATCACGTCTTGGATTTTCGATTAACTTTAAAACGCTGCTAAGTCATGGCTGAAGTTTGGAGGGACGTGCAGGCACTGCTGCCCGCCACTCAGCCAGAGTTTCCTCTTGTCTTCAGTGAAATAGTTGAACCAAGTGTGCTGGATCTCCTAGAACTGACCAGAGAGCAGCTGTACCGAGCATCTGATTCCTCTGACTGTGCCGAGAAAGCCCAGATCATTATCGACTACGCCTGGGAGAAACTCAATACAGGCACTTGGCGAGATGTGGATAAAGAGTGGAGGCGTGTTTACTCCTATGGCTGCCTCTTTAAAGTTGTTGGGATGTGTCATGGAGATGCATCTCAGGTCAAGATCCAAGAAGCCATAAGAACATGTGATATGGGTTTGCTGATGGGCGCCTCCATTATGGACAGTATTCTCCAGAGACTCGTGGCTGTTCTGAAAAATAAAGTGAAGATGCAGCTTCCCAGCAAAGCGGAAGACCAACCCTGCCCAAAGGTGAATTATTAGGGGTGTAAAAAAGCAGTCGTGATTGATCTGAGGCATTGATCTGAAGGGGTGATTCAACACTGTCAATTTTGGAATCAAATTATAACAATATTAAATGTCCTATTTTTGCCCAAAATGAATTTTTGGTCTATTACAGGCCTAAATATAAAAATAATAGCATATTGTTTTTAGCTATATTCCACTACTGTGTGAATAGTAAAGTACTGGGTAATACTGCTGGCCACCACACTGCAGAATGGCGTTCAGCTCCGGTCCTTGGACAAGACTCCTAACACTGTATTTGCCTATCTCTGTTACATGATTAAATTGTAAGTCACTCTGCATAAGAGCATCTGCTAAATGTAGAAATGTAATAGTCACTTTTGTGTATCCAGTCTAATTTTAAAAAAATAAATCAATCGGAGTGACACCAAACTAATCAAATCAAACAGGGATGCACAAAATTTCAGTCAAAAGTGATCAAAAAGGGCATTTGTGGTTTTTGAAAATTTTGACAAAGAACAGATAAATAGGCCTACAACAGAGTGTCAAAATCTAAAACAAATAATTTTAATGAAAATGAGTAATTAAAAACACCATTTGTTCCCTTTGCTTTTCCTGTATTCATTCTAAACATCAAGAGGAGACTTAAGACCGAAAAGCTTCTCCAGTCCAGGTTTGAAAGGCCATTTGAAAACACATCATCCTGCTTGATATGCAGAATACAGTTAAAAAAAGAAGCAGAATGCCCCTGGTAGCACACCACCACCATGTGTAGCTACAGTTTTTGAAATCACAAAAAAAAAAAAACACAAATGACAGTGCGAAAGTGCAAAGCATAACCAAAAATAGTAGAATTCGTTGTCTTGGATGACCAATCGTTCTCTAGTGTCGAAGATGTTGGATTTAATGGCACATAACTGCCTGTAGCCAACATACTATAATCATTTTAGTACGTAGATTGTCTTTTTCTCAGTTTTCAACCAAGTGTGTCCTGAATTGTGCAAGAATTTTCATTTCAGATTTCATGATGCACAGAAAAGAATCGTAATTTAATCACATTGTCGTGAGATCAGTGATTTACAATCCGTGAACCATTCATTTTAAACGGGACAAGGAGCTTTGGCTACCTTTTTTTATGCAATTGTGCATCAGCATCATGCTGTTAATGTTCTGTTACTGTCAGCTTTGCCAGAAATCCAGCTTTCAAGAGCTGCAAGTACACCTGTCTCCTGTGTCAACAGAAACTCAAGAGGAACGGCACACCAGAGCCCCAAATTGATGCTGCAGTGTCAGTTCCAAGAGTTAAGTGTCCGGCTCTGGAAAGCTTCCGATCAGATTTCCTGGTGCCCCAAAAGCCAGTCATACTAGAAGGAGTAATTGACCACTGGCCTGCCTTCAGAGAGCACATGTGGAGGTACTATACTGCATAGATTTAGATCAGTCTGCTGTATTTCACAGCTTGGAGAATTATCTTCTGAAATTTTCCATCTTTCCCTACATCTGCACCCTCTGCAAGCATAGACTACCTGCGAGGAGTGGCAGGCTGCCGGACTGTTCCTGTCGAGCTGGGATCTAGATACACTGATGAAGAGTGGTCACAGAAGCTCCTTACAGTAAACGAATTCATAGACCGTTATATTGTGGATAAAGTAAGACTAAGTTCATATGTACTATAATAGTGGTCATACGTTATTGACTTATTAACAAGGCTGATTATAAACTGTATATTTATATTTATTTCCTTGTAGGGAGCTGCTGATCTGGGATACTTGGCTCAGCACCAGTTATTTGATCAGGTAACGTTTCAGTCCTAGTGATCTCTTGGTCATGTACTTAATATAAACTACCCTCACGGGTAGTCTGATTTCCAAAAGTGAATACATAGAGCTCAACAAACAGTTGATTTACAGTCGTTGTTTGTTGCATTATTTCAGAAGCACATACAGCTACAGCGCTGACACTTTTGATGAAACTGTCTTTGGCACAGAATGGGGAACAAAAAGCATTGTGGAACAGTCTGTCATAACAGTCTGTGTTCTGACATAAAGCCCTTACTTGAGTTATAAAAAGCAACATGATGATATTCTTCTTCTAGGTGCCAGAGCTGAAAGAAGACATCCGTATCCCTGACTACTGTTGTCTTGGAGAAGGAGATGAAGATGACATCACGATTAATGCTTGGTTTGGACCAGGCGGGACTGTCTCTCCTCTGCATCAAGATCCACAGCAAAACTTTCTGGCTCAGGTAAGCCCTAGTGACAAAAAGCAAACTTCAAGAACGTTCTGACATGTTTTGTTTTTATGTTGTCTCTTACATAATCCAGAGGTATCTCCTGATCTCTTTCCTAACTGAAAAACAGGTGGTTGGGAAGAAATACATCCGTCTCTACAGTCTCGAGCAAACGGAAAATCTGTATCCGTATCAGTCTCAGCTCCTGCACAATACCAGCCAGGTACCATACGTCACCGACATGTCAGTGGTCTGTCTTTCTAGTGTGCTAGACTGTAAGACTCATTTTAGAAAGCAGTGGTGTGGAATATGGCACAAATATGATGCTGGGAGACATTTTTATTTGTGCTGTCAGGACAAAACACATTTTCTCCATTTTTGACATTTTTTTATTTACACAGTATCAAAATTTCATGATGACTGGACTAATAGACATGGTCCAGACATGACAGTGACAGTGACAGTGACAATATTATGATATTGCATTTTTTTTGTGGTTTGATAAGTTGGACAAAGTGAATGAACAAAAAAACCGAGGTTGACTTTTAGGTTAATGTTCCTGGTCATATTAAGCTCAATTCTTCACATCATTTAAAAGACAAATTTCTTGTTTTACAGTAATCTCCTACCAAAATTCAATGACTTTTGGCTGATTCTGATTTTTAATTATGTCACCATGCACCAGTGGGAAGACAAAAATAATGAACTTGCCATTTACCAGCAATAGGACAAAACTTTGGACAGCTGCACCACTTAAGAGCGCTGTACAAATCTTTTTATTGCAACGTGTAGCTGATCAGCTTTCTTAATGTACTGACTATATCCATATCCAGAAAAAAAGTTATGTTGTAATTTATTGTGATATATCATCCACCCCTAACCATTCTCCCTACTGTTGACTCTGCAAATGCAGCCGTTTGTACTGAGGGCGATAACATGTCTTCCCTGCTCAGGTGGACGTCGAGAATCCAGATGTGGTGCAGTTTCCAAACTTCATGAAAGCGTCTTATCAGGAGTGTGTGCTTCAACCTGGGGAAGTCCTGTTCATTCCCAAACAGCACTGGCATTATGTGCGCTCCTTAGAGCTCAGCTTTTCTGTTAGTTTTTGGTGGTCTTGATAATATGTTCCTATTAAATGTTCCAACTTTGTACTCGGGATGAATAAATACTATGAGTGCTGAATTTATTGTTGTACTGTTATTACTTATTTTTTTCCCCAAACCAGTAATCAGGAGGTGACAGAATAGCAGTCAAATTTCTGATTAATGTGATTTGCAGTAAGATAAAAGCAATTGAAGGGCAAACTTTTTTTTTTAAGTATAAAAATAGGAACAGGGCTTTTCTTAGTGTAAAGCTCCCATCCAACTTAAATACAAAATAAATGAAGATAACTGGATGATAGAATTCAAAAGTCTACTAGAAACTTAAATATTCCCCAAGTAAGCACAATATTTCAAACATTTATTGCTGCAGCTTAGCTACAAGTTCCCTTATCCAACAATGTAACAAATCAAATACCACTTTTTGAAAATGTTGCTTTTACTTCAAAATTATACAAATATATCTGAATTCAACACAAATATATTACAATACAAACGTTATGAAAAAGTAAATGAATGTGCTTCTGGCTTATCCTGAACATCAGCATGCCCAAATATTACTGATCAATCACAAGCAGGATTGAGAGTTCCTTTCAAAGTGTTCACTTTCCACATGACATTTCAACTGTATATGCATTACCTTTCATTTAAAGGTTCCACACTGCAGAGTCAAATGAAGAGTCAGAAGTTGGAAGGCTCTTTTCAGTTTATAACATCTGAATGTCACTCTACCATATCTGCATGAGATTGCTGCCTTTTGCGCATTCTAAAAAATATCCTTATGTGCTTTTCATCACAACCTCACCCTGACTGCGAGGTATGGCAAACTAACTTGACATTAGGACCTTCTGGAGCGGCGTGCAGAGGAAGTGGAGGGTGTGGGATTGGGCGCAGGCACTGCAGATGAATGCTGGCTTTGTGAGCCCTGTGACTGGGACTGTTGGATTTCTGAGAAATCAAAGCATTAGGACTGCAATTAGACAACATTTCTGTATGTTTTTACATGTCTGTGCTCTCAATGGTGCACACACAAATATCACTAGGCTGGTGCAAACACAAATAAATTTTCCTTACCTGGAATCTCATGAGTCCAGAAGTCATTGCATGAAGGGCAGTGAGGGTCACTACGGCCTTTAAAATATCTGGCAACACAAGGCAGGTGCATCTTAATGCCACAGGTTGGATTTTCACAGATTTGGCTCTGAAAACATGAGGAATGAAGTTATTATTTAGACATTAAAAAAACACTCCATCCACTGAACTACAAACCTGTAAAAACACATCAAACATTAGAACTGTTCTCAAAACCAGTACTGTGTTTAACTGTAAGGCAACTGGCTACTGTCACAACAATCATATTTAATAACGAAGCAAAAATAAATAAATAAACAAACAAAAATATGTATTCTTTCTTGTGAGCCTGTATAAAAAAGAAAAAAAAATGTTTTGTAGCCTTTAAACCAAAAGCAACTGAAGTAATGCTGACTGTTTCTCAGCCTTTCAGTGCACAAAAAATGTGCTTACAGTTCTGATGTAAGAAGTCGTTAGTATTTCTTTGTATTTTTCAGAACAGTGAACGGTACTTTTGTAATTTTGTACAATGCTATTTGCTTAAAGGAGAAGTCTGTTTATACATAAAGTCTAACTGCGTTACATACAGCAATAGACACAATACTTTAATGATAACTTATCACTTCTCATATCATCGTTATATCTGACAGCTTTATCAAACATCACATTTTCCAACCACATTGTACAGCAATGAAGTGAACAGTAACGAGTTACAGCACGTAAATATGAAGATTAAGATTACTGTAAACTTCGTGTGTGCTTCTTTAGATACCAAAGAAAAAATCTGTTATCCGAGTATGTTTATAATTCTCACCTGGAAGGCAACGTTGTGGCACACATAACACATTTTGATGAGGTCTTGGTAAATCATGCGCATGTACTGCTCCATCTCAATAATGCAGCGAGTGCTTAGAGTGTATTCACCTTGTTTCTAAGGGAAGAGAGTTTGATTTAAATATAATAGAACAGATAGAACAAAGGAAAATAGAGTAGCACTCATCTGTAGGGATAGATATCGTAACACAGTTTGTTTTTCTGGTACAATCTACACTGTCATTCAATAACAAATTTCAGTCTTACTGAGCTGATAAGCATGATTGTTTCAAAGTTTAGACTGGCTTACGCTGGCTGTCTGAGGTGGAGACCTCAGCATTTCTTGATAAGTCAGCAAATCACTGTGGTCAGTAAATACACCCACTTCCAGCATCTCACTTCTAGTTTCAGCCACTTTCAGTTTGTATTTTAATTTGATTATTTAACTATCCTAATTTAATTTCTAATTTTCTAATTCTTTTAAATATCTCCATTAATTCTCAGTGTGGGTGAAGGCCTCACAAAAAACTCAGCCATCAGCTACATAAGACCTTAGTTTCAGTGCTTGTGGGGGGAAAAAACAATAATGTCTTATTATGTGTCTATGTTAATGTAGAAGTAGACATATAATTATTCTAGGCTCTCCTCAGATTCTTCTCAAGCTACAGGGCACATTTTTAAATGATTTTGATCTTTTTTTTGCCCCCAAAATGTAGTTAAACTTCACATTCTTTTCTCCTGTCTTAAACACAGCCTATTACAAATAAGGTTCTGTCATCAACAGTCTGGAGTGGGCAAGCCTGCACAGATGCCTTAATTTTGATGCATATGAAGCATGTCACTGCAACATATTAACCAGCATCACCAAACTAAGTAACATGCTTAGAAAGGAACCCAAAGCACCTGATTCGACCATGCAACAAGCAAGAAAAATTTTCATCAATAAAAACAGAGCTTTTGCAAACCACATTTGCAAAGCTTTTGCACCAGTATGGGAACTGTGGGCCAGTGCTGATATTCAGTATTTTCCGTGTACACATCTGTTAATGCTGAAGCTGATGTCAATATATACATATTTATAAAATGTAACTAAAAGTAACTGGATTAACATTACAACATTATGTAAGAATCATTTCTTCAGGGTTACTAATGCACTGAAATTAATAAAATGCAGACATTTTAGCAAAGTTATACAGCGTCAATTGAATGTTTGCTCTTTTGTAGTACAATAAATATGTCATCAAATATAAATTTGAAATATGAGTCAAGTCTAAACTTTGTTCTGATGTTCTGATGGTGATCATTTTTTAAAGCAATTATCCACTGATATCATCGTGCATCCCTACTATTGTCCAGGGTGGTGATTTATTTAAAGGGAGTGAACAGATGAATGTGTGGACAGGCAAAACATATTATCTAGATGACGCTTTCAAGCTCATGTGAGCTTTTTCAAATAATTTTTGAGTTCTCAACAGACAAATTTTCAAACATGCTGTTGGTTTAAAAGGGCTAAATATGCATATGTGTGCAAGACGTCTAAGGCAACAATCCTGCATAAGTCTTAGGTAGGTATTCAACACCTACAAGAATAAAAAAAAAAAAAATCAAGTGAGCTGCATCAATATTAAATAATACTCTAAAACATATACCTCATTTAACCATTTGTCCTGAACAAATTTATTCAGCACATTTTCTGTCTCCTTCTTCTTCAGTTTTTTTGACTGGAGACTGTCAGCACAATTCAGGATATCGGTGGAGGAGGCAGTACCATTCTCTGAATCTACAATCAGATCCATCTGTGGAGAAAAATTAAATGACAATAATTTATTCAGAAATATTCAGCTTGTGTGACTTCAAAGAGACCTAATTCAAAGTAACCTAAATGGCTTTGGACATGCATGCACATATTTGTTGTTCTAGCAGCATATCAAATTTCCATGAGCAAATCCAGTACAGCAAATGATTTACCGTTTTCCTGAACAGTTCCAATTCGTTATCAGCATAATCAGAGGACATTCTTGTTATGTCTGTTTCAGCCATGTTCACCTGAATGAAAAACAAGGACCCAGAGTATCACGTATATGTTCATGCTGATATCACAAATTATGCATACATATTATTACCAACCAATGCATAATACTGTAGTCCATCCTCCTCTGACATGCCCTTTCTGATGTGCATGAACATGGGCTGAAGTTGAGCATTGATGACGTCGATGAATTCATCCAATCTATCTGGTGAGTAATGTGCTGAACAACACAAAAAAGCACCTTTTTCTTACCAATAGTATATACTTTGACCACTTTATTAGGTACCTTGTAGCTGTGATCACTGTCCATTTTATCAGGTCCACTTACGAAATATGTGTATTCTCGAACTCCACAATTAAAAGATTGTAGTCTTGTTTCTCTATAATTCGTTAACCCTACTCCACCCCATTTACCAATGGTCAGGCCCACCACTGAGCATGCAGTATTTGGGAAGTGGGTCATTTTCAACCCTGCAGTGACGCTTACATGGTAGTGGGATGTTAGTGGGTGTTCGTGCTGTTTGTGCGTTAGTGGGTGAGTGCATTACATAACACAACTATTTATACCTAGAACTAAAACTGCCTATATGGTTAGCGTTCCTAATAAAATGGACAGTGAGTGTAGATACAAGCAAGGTAGGTATAGCTAATAAACCGGGCAGTGAGTTAGCAGTTGGTTACACACCTCCATGGGTTTCACAGCAATGTCGATGAAGCGCCTTTGCCTGGAGGCGGCTGATGATCCCATTACTCATCAATGTTTGTAAGAACCGTTTATGACTGTCTCCCATTGGTCGAGACATTCTGGAGGATGAACAGGACATTAGGATTGTAATTACGTATATAAATAGGTTCATACATACAGTACATAACGCTACATACAAGAGGTGCAATGTTAGGAACTGTTACTATGTTTACATCGAAGTACGTAAGGTAGGTTAACGTTATAAAGGATTAGCCAGCTAGCTAACGCGCAACAGAACGTGTTTTTTCTGTCACAAATCAGCAGTAAACGTAGCAATGACACAAAGTAATACTAAACCACAACTCTGTTGTTATTATGTGCATCAGGCATGTCTTAAAACCGAGAACCGTTTCGAGCCCATAAAATAAATTAACGTTACTCTAAAGTCTGTTCCCTGCCTAACGCTGCTAACGCTACGGCCCACAGCTACAACAGAGCTAACGTTAACGTTCAATGACAAGGCAAGTATCGTGGCAGTGATATTATAGTTACAGTAGAGACAGTCGACTGCCAAGCTATGATATTAGCAATGTTTTCAGTAAATAAGGCTAACGTTACTGAACCTTATAAAGAAAACATCCGCTATATTTACCACATCAGCAGTAGCTTGCTACAGGCATAAAACCTCTCAACAAAATTAGCTTCATGGGCTAAACTGTCTAGAATACTCTACTTTTATTTATCCTCCATATGTAACTAGAAGAAGCGGTCTTTACGAGCACAGCAACTCACTTCACACGACTTTTTTCAAGAACTTATCTGGAACTAGTTTCAATCTACCGCGCACCACCAGAGGGTTCTGAAACACTTCCGCTGTGGTGAACCGTCAACACTGGGGGGACAGAATTTGACCGGTGCACTTTTTCTCATGGACAGAGCTTAAAATCTCATCATAACCGAGCAGACTGATTATTTTATACTGAGCTGATATTAGTATTTAAAGAAGGACGTTAAAAAATGTGATAAGCCAGAAATAAAAAAAAAACGTTTTTAATTGTTTAAAAATAAAAGTCCCTTTGTTCCATACGAAATCTACCGGGGAGATCATAAATCACAGTATATATATAACCGAAATCATACATTTTATACATCCATTTCGGCTTTCTCACTCTCTCAAGACTAAGGGAAAATAAGTACACATTCTCTACAGAAAGCACACTTCTGCACCATTTAATGTACAATTACTGTTTCTTTGCTGAATGTAACATATTGGGGCGAAAGAAACGACTGTATGTCCATCAGAAAACCTTAAACTTTACATGAAAGCTATAATAAGAATAAGAATAATGAGTACATTCTAATATATATCTTTTTTCATGTTTCTGACGTAATTAAAGTAACCAAAACCAGAGATGTTAACACACTAAACAAAATAATAAGGTTTGAGACTTCTTGCCATAATTTTTGATATAAGGTCAGCGGCGGAAAAGATGGGGCACAGTTTCTGTCTGTGTCGTGCAAAAAGCACAATTTACATTGATAACATCTTCATATGCACCCAGAAAATATTTTGCATAGGTTGCACAAAATTTATGCAAAAGTTCGAAAGAGACTTTCCTTATCTTATTTGTTATGAATACTTGCGTGGCAGTAACCAAATGTTCTCCCGAGGAAAACTACCCACAGTTATTCCGGGAACTTCAAATTTTGGAACACGGGGTGAATTTCTCTGTTATTCTTTTCATAAGACAGAATAAAAACCTAATTTTCCCTCTATGACGGAGCCCCTTAAAGTCCACATGATTCAGAAATCATACCACACTTTTCTTCCATAGCAAAACGTCTTTCTGAGTGGTCTCTGAGCTGGTTGGGCATTTTCGTTCGATGATGGGTAGGGGTGGTGGGACGTGGAGGTTAATATTATTTTTCCCTGCCTGCTGGTGCATGATGCCTTAACCAAAACTCAGAAGATGTGTTACAGGCGGACATAAGTCACTACACTTTAGTCAAAGACCACTGGAAAACAAGATTTTTTGTCTTATGACATGATATGATATGACATGATATGATATGATATGATATGATATGATATGATGGATCATGGTTAATATAAACAGGGACATGAACTAACAAGGTAGCCAACATTTTGATTCAGGCTGATTTTAAGTGAAGCCACACAGCTGCGTGGAGAGTCCCCATCAGAATGAGAAATTCTTGGCAGGAAACTAACAGAACAATTCACTAAGATTCATAAGGGAGATTTTCTACTGCAAGGGTTTTTTAACTGGAAAAAAATGCACTGTTGTTTTCCAGCAGTCCTTGTAGCAGTTTGTGTCTGTTTTAGGTGTGGTTTTAAGCCTGTGTTTGTCTGATTGTGGTCTTTGTGTTATTCTGAGTTTATCAGTGTGCACTTTATCATCTAATGTCCTCATGTTTACTGGCATGTGTTACTTGCCACGACCCATATGACTATATGATTTCCAGTGTAAAACAATAATAGTTTGATAAACGCATATTGTACAACAATTTCACAGCTCTCTAGGTTTTGGTTTCGCATTGAGTGATACAACAAATTCTGGTTTCACTTTGTGCTGTACTTGATATCATTTGTGGAAAACACAAATAATACACTTAAACAAAGATTTTAAGTTCAAGGATTTTAAATAGGAAAGTTTAACTTCTGGCTTTGCTGTTTAACGAGTATTTCAGTTCTGATTATGGAGCTCTGCTCTATACAGCAGTGTTTCTCTTGTTATTAGCTGAGAGTTTGAATGAGTTTATTATTAAGTTTATTATTAAGAAACATAAGAATTTTTATTTATTTTATACTAGACATATACAGTGGACCCAAAAAGTACTTGAACACTTTAGCCAATGGTAAACTTTAATGAAGTCCTGGTAATACATTACTTGGAGGCTACCTACATAGGGACATCAGAAAAAATGCATAAGCATTGAACATATTTATAAAGCATTTTCATGGTTATTTATGAACAGCTTATGCCAGTAATCGCAAGATGTCATAAGATTAAGTACATGACACTTTATAGACATACAAGTTTTGTATTTTAACTTAAGTAGAACAACAGAGGACATGTGATGCCCTAAACTTGGCATCTTTCCTGTACATTCTATTACTTGGTAATAATGCTTAATAACAGTGTTATAAATGGACCAAATGTTCATCACTGTAGTTTAATGTCTATTATGTCTACCGAAGTTCTTTAGGTCAGTTCATAAAATGTTTAACAAATTGGTATTTGTTATAGAGAAAAACACTTTTAGTACAATATTAGAGAACATTAGTAGACTTTTTGTATGGAGAAATCCTGGAGAAGAATTCCAACCAGGCTGCACTAAGAGTACTGTAAAGCACATGTCAAAGTCTGTAAAACATATCAAGGTCTGCGTCTGTTTGTCTTTCAATGGTGTTGGTGAGCTTATGTTCACATATGAGATCATGTACACTTCAATAAATGGTATGTTGTCAAATAAAATAATCTTAAATGTAGTTGATATTTCCAATATTTCTCATTTTGAGATTGTTGTAGCCTTTTTGTAGGCTTAGGATTGTTGTAGACAAACTGCTGAAATTATAAAAACCTGAAACACGCCAGCTACCTTTTAAAAGAATACGTTGTCAAAAAAAAAAAAAAGATGCAGTCTAGGAATGGTCTGTTTAATGTAAACACCACTCGGTTTGACATTTTGTTTCCTAATACAACAAACTTAATACATTTTTAAGTATGGCACAAATATCCAAATACTTTTTGGGACCACTGCATGGGCACCATGCATTAAAGAAATGAAAACAGGGTGAATTGATAAGCTCACAATTAGATTATCCTACCTCCTGTAGCATCTTGTCTCACCTCCTGTCCCAATACCCATATACACTTAAGTAAATCTTTTTCTCCATGTATGACATTAAGAAATACAGCACATATATTTGTCTGTGTTTATGATAGTATTTTATGCATTTCCCAAATAAATGTATATATATATATATATAGATAGATAGATAGATAGATAGATAGATAGATAGATAGATAGATAGATAGATACTTCTGATGAGGGCAGCACGGTGGCGCAGTGGGTAGCGCTGTTGCCTCACAGTGAGAATGGCCTGGGTTCGATTCCCGGCTGGGCGACCGGGGTCATTTCTGGGTGGAGTTTGCATGTTCTCCCCGTGTCTGTGTGGGTTTCCTCCGGGTACTCCGGTTTCCTCCCACAGTCCAAAGACATGTGGTCAGGCTGATTGGACATGCTAAAATTGCCCCTAGGTGTGAGTGTGTGTGTGAATGTGTATGTCTGTCTGCCCTGTGATGGATTGGCGACCTGTCCAGGGTGTATCCTGCCTTCCGCCCAATGACAGCTGGGATAGGCTCAAGCACCCCACCGCGACCCAGAAGGATAAGCGGTTTAGATGATGTATGTATGTACTTCTGATGAGCCCTTTCAGTGTACAGTTTAGGCCAACATACCAGAGACAACTTACTCATTCCTGTTATTGTCAGCCATCTTGGGCTAGTTACATATGTAGGTAAATGGGTCTCATGATTCAGGTCTCATGACTGGACGATGCTAACGGCTAAATCAACAAGAAAGTGGCCTCAAATTACCTTTCCGTGTGTGGAAACCATGCATGGATGGTTAAGTCACTCTGTGTAGTTCTTCAGTTTTACCCACCAGATGTCAGCAGTGAGAGCAGCCAGCGCTCTGGATTCCCACTGTGCATCAGATAGAACAGTAGAGTTGGAAAGACTTAAAGAACGGGAACACAGACAGACAGAAAAAGAGAACAGCACTCATTTATCACTCATCACCACAGAAACAAAACAGCTCCAAATAGGTAGCCCCAAAACACACCTAGAGATAAAGTCTTCCAGCCCAGAGAGACACTGGCGTAGATACAGACCAGAGGACTATGTGTTTTCTCAGTGCGGAGGGAGAAACAATACAGAGACGCGGGCGTGAATTTCCTCGGAAGAGCGTAACCATTCCAGTAAAACCAGAAACCCCGCCCACACCAACAAATCCATAACTTCGAAGAGGGAAGTAGGACAAGGCGATGTATTTCTTAATTTTACATGCTCTTTAAACATAATCGATAGTCTGTGTTTAAATGTACTAATATGCGATTTCAGACACCTACAGTTTAGGGCTTCATACTAGGATAAACTTGACTTCACTTGGCTCGACATCATTCCAACTTGTATGGGTAAGTTTAAAGCGCGCCTGAGAACACCTAGGTTCACTGTTAAGGAAAGAAGGGAAAAAAGTTTCTGTCATGTCCTGGTGACTTTTCAGTACCTTTACAGAACCTCGTTCACATATAACGTCATTTATCTTTGACAAACCACGTCAGACAAAAAAGTTCACTTCACTTTCCTGTGTTTCTCTTTTCCACGTTCTTCTTCTGCTTTCGCTCATGGCGTCTCCAGCACTGGCTTCTTTGGAGCCACTGTTCACCATGAGTCTGATCTTACAGCTGAGCCTGTTTCTCATCAGCACTGGATTCACAGCAGCTAATGAATCTAATGGTGAGTCTTCTGCTGTTTATTTATGTCATTTATATTCACATACAGTGTACTACTGTTTATTTATATTATTTATATTTGTCAAAGCTAGGATAACACAACTGCACCCAGTTTAACTTCTTAAATCCTGGAGTTACTTATTAATAGTTAGGTTTATGTTTTAGTAACTACTATCCTATGTTAAAAAATACTACTTTTTATGTATATATATAACTATTAATAGTTATATAAATACATAAAAACCTTGTATCTCCATTTTTGTCGTTTTTCAGTAGAGAAATAGAAATGGCCCAAAATGATTTGGAAAAAAGTCTGGTTCTATTGACTTATATTAAATGTAAGTAGGTTTTTTCCTTCTCCTATAAAGTTGTCATTTTGGAGATACAAGGTTTTCTTCCGACATACGTGTATATATATATATATATATATATATATATATATATATTATATATATATATATATATATATATATACATGTATACACACATATATAAATAGATAGATAGATAGATGGATAGATACAAAGTTCACTATTACATATTACTGCTGTCACAACAAAACGTTGTATCTCATTTTTGTATATATATAATTTGAAAATGCCAAATGCCTGTTGTCCTTTACATTGTATGTAATACAATACAACTACTTTTCGATATAGGTGATTTTTTAGATAACAAACATATTCATTTCTTGTTTGATTACTCAATTAAAAGGTAGATTAAGGATTTATTAACAACTAAATGACATATAATATTGCTAACTTGCTTAATTTTGAGGGGAAAACCTGCTACAGAATGAAGAGCCTTCTTTGTGAGCTGAGCCAAATGGCGCAACTCACCATGACTCATGACGCATTACAAATGTCACCTTATTTTAACAGTATATGTCTTTTGATGGAGGGTGTTTACCCTTCACATACAGATGCATACTGCACATGTATTTTCATTCTGAGCATATGTACATATGTTTCCTCCAGGCAGCTACTTTAAATGTAATATGTAAGTAGTTATGCAAGTGAGGAAGTGAATACCGACCTTTGAAATTTCAGGGGTTAATCTATTAGTGGGCAGTTTTCCAGAAAATACATTTTAAGCTTGAGTACTTATTCCGCTCAACCCTGTGGCACTTACCAAAGTATCAAAGACTTCCACATAAAGCGCTGTCTTGCTAATCTTTAAACATTCTTTCCAAATTTCAGAACCTTCACTGGATCTGGAATGCCTGAATGACTATGACACAGAGATGGTTTGCCGTTTGAGTTCAGAAAAACTCAACAACTGCCCCGAATACAAGCTCAATATATCCCTAATGACAATTGATGAGTGAGTATTAGTAATGATTCAGTTAGTAGGCAAACAGTATGAAATTTTTTTTCTTAAAAATCTTAAGCTCTATTATAACGTTAAACCTTTCTTATTTTCCAGAGTGTTTACATGCAGCTTTGTTCATGTCATTCCCAATTTCTGTGAATGCAAATTCCAAATACAAGGCTTTGTTCTTGAGAGTTTTGAGGCTAACCTGTGGAGAGGAGAAAAGACGTTGCTGTTTAAGGAGATCGATATTGGAAAAAGCAGTAAGTGGCTTGTGATTGGTTTCATTTTAATCATCTCATTCTTTTGTTGCACACGTTACTTGCTTGTAATGCATTGTACATTGGCTTCTTGGCTTTTCAGTGAATATGTCCCTATTAGATCAGGCTACAAGCTCTGAATAAAGTCTAACTTTACACATTTGCCACAGGTTATGTAATTTATAGAACACTGTGGATTTTTTTGAACATTATGAAATTTTTTTGTGTCTGTTCATTTGTGCTATTTATTTATTCCAGATATTGAAAGTTATGGATTTAATCATATTTTCGTGCACAATAATGTCAAAATTATATTAGTATTGGCAGATAATAGCTTGAAATAAAAATAATAACATTGCACAGATGTTTAGATTTGACTGATATCTCAAACGAATATGTAATGACATAGTTATTGTACTTCTGAAGAGCAGAATGTTTAGGCAATGCTGGGTAGCTGCTCTAAAATATCTGCATTTTATTCATTTGACTGCTTCTGTGATTTGTGATTTGTAACCTTCCAGAAAGAGGTATTTCTCAGTAGTGCTAGACCGTATGGTCTATATTTTTTTTTTTGGAGTTGAATGGTGGTGCTTTGTTATTGTTAACCTAATTTTTTAATAACATAAATCAATGTTTTCTTAACCTCTTGTACATTTATAACCAGTATCTTCAAACTATATTCCTTTGTATATCATGTTAACAGGAGGTTAACATCATAAGGCTATTGTGTTCCACCATAGGGCACATGTAAAATAGTTTTTCCTCCTTTGAAATGTTTAAAAACTTGTATATCAAAGTGTTGATTGTGATTTCTATAGTTGACATGATGTGCAATATCACTGTTCAGTTCTTATTCATGTGCCATTTCCACTATTGTGTCCAGCCTCTGTGCTTTTCAGAGATTTCTGTATTTAACCAACAGTGGTAATGGTGCATAATGCATGTACATAACTGACTATGTATTTCTTAATGCAGTCAAACCCAAACGGCCAACCATCGTATCAGTCATGCTGACAGAAAATGGAAACTTTCGTATTACCTGGGACACCAACTACACATCACCTCTTCAAAAACCATTTTCTGATAGTCTGAGTACGGAGCTCACCTACGGTGTTAAAGGAGGCGAAGTCAATGTAAGTGAACTGTTTAAGCATGAATAAGCATACATCCCTTCACACACACCATTTTGCATGAGTGAAATAAACGCAGGAAATGATTCATTTTTCATTAGTCCACACAGGTGATATCTTTGGAAAAAGGACGAACTGAATATGAGATTGTGGGTAGAAACCTTCAGCCCAACTCCGATTATGTCGTGATGGCAAGAGTGAGCACAGACTACAACCAGAATTCGAGGTTCAGCGACTATAGTCAACCATATGAGTTTGAAACACGTAAGTTTTCATAAGTAAGACTCTCATTAAATCATGTATTAAAAAGTGGTTTCAGTGTATTTAACTGGGTTACATGTTTCTGTGTCTTCAGCCATATTTATACGGGATATTCTCAAGATACTAATTCCCATCTTGTGTGTCAGTCTGATCATCTTCATATCCACTCTTTTCTACTGTTACATCAAGTAAGACCACTTTCACTTTTTTTAGTTATTCATTTTAATTAGTTCTCAGTAGCTCTTCTTCACAGTGGACCAGTAATCTGTGAAAGGGGAACTAAACCCATACCCTCTCTGAAATAGATACAGTATATAATTTAACTCTGAAATAGTGACTGCCTTTTTTATTTTTCATTGCTGTCCATTATTAACTCAAATTATAATTAACCTAAATAGTCTAATGTAAACATGAAGTCAAAAACTGTCAGAATAATGTGTCTTGTATCAGACTAAAGCTCTTTTCTCTTCTTCATTACAGAATCATAAAACAGTGGTGGGACAAGATTCCTATTCCGAAAATAGCTCCGATTTTTGAAAAACCGGTAAACAACATAATGTTTCTTCCATTTCCCCTGTCATGGATACATTCTTAGATATTTATGCACCTTTCTATGGACAGTTCAAACTCTAACTTTTTCATGTTAAAAATAAACTTAGTGGTTAAAAATGTACATTTAAATGCGCTTAAGATGTACTTGTTTTTAAAGTATGTAATGGAACAATAAGTTCTTCTTAAACAAAATTTATATGTTCACAGAAATTCTTGCACAAGAAGTTTAGCTACATTAGCTGTTTATTTACTTAACTTATTCACCTTAATGTAATGACCATTGAGCAGACAACAACAGGGGTATTAACACCTTAACAAGTCAAAGTTTTTTTACACATTTCTATAACTTAAGAAAACCTCCATTAGTCTGCATTGAAGTTAGTAGTTCTGTAGTTGCTGAATAATCCGCCTTTGTATGACATAAACCTGGAATGTTAATGGGTTAAAGCATTAGCCAAAAAAATGTTGTTAATAAGAATGCATCACTGCAGTTTCTTCACAGTCAGTACCAATGAAGAGTATCTAATGTTTCATGTTGTGCATAATTCCTGTCTAAAATGAGTGTGCAAAACTGAGCAATAGTCACCTATTGCGAAACACTGAATTATGGCCACAGTTTTCCTTCAAAAGAACTGAGTCATTTGATGTAAATCTGTCTTGCCTTTTTTTGCTTTACCAGGTTCCACATTTGTCATCATTTGGAAGTGACTTCTCCCCTGTCTATCTTGAAACTTCAAAACTGGCCCCCTTTAAGGATAAGATGTGGTGAGACTTTATTTTACACCCTCAACATGTATTAAAACATATGTAAAAGTCAGAGATGGCACAGTACCACTTTTTTCTTTTCCAGTGCTGAAGCCTTGAGTATTGGCCGAAATGGATACCGATCCAATACCATTTCCTTAAAAACTACTGCACTTTAAAATGAGCTGTTTTTAAATAAAGCACTAAGATGCGCATCTACACTGTAAAACATAAAAATCGCACTAACGTAACTTATTTTGGTTTTCTTTACTCATCTGTTAATCTTACTAATGTTAATCTATTACAGTTGTTGTTTCTTATATAGTGCCTTAGTTTTTTAGGTCAATCTAGTTAAGATTAATTAATTTGGAAAAAAACTGAATAGTTTTTGTTGTTGTTTTTTTTTAATTAACTTAAAATTTTTCATTAGTTCTTTTCACATAATGTTATTTTTGTGTCATAGCATATTCTCATGCTAAAATTTGAAGTCTGGATGCATTTTACATGTTTTTTATATTTTCACCATGATGGTGTTTTGTATTTAGGTTAGGCCAGGGTTACTGCTTACTTAGTGAATATTAGCCCACAAGCAGTTTTTGAACAGAATGGCAAAGATTCTTGAAGCTAGTTGAGTTCTCAGAAATGGGTGACTTGTTTTATTCATTTCTTTGTTACTGTAAGAGGAAGTGAATAAGACAATATGTAGCCATGGGGTATGCAGCCATTAGCTCATTACTGTGTGAAACAATCCATTTTAAATAATGGAGTTGTTTCACAGTTGAAACCAGTGCATTGCACATGGTTGAACATTTGCAGCAAATCACAGTTAAATGAGAGGTTAACCTGACTAAATCAAGACAAAGTACTGACTCGAACAAGTACTGCCAGCTCAGTTTTCACTATTTAAAATTATTGGGCTGTTTGACTTAACTTGTTGAAGAAGTGTGAATCACTGAAAAGTAGAAAGGATCTATAACTCAAATATTAATTTAAACTTGAATCTGTTAAGTAACTTTGAGACAGTATGTTTTGCATGATTTTTTTAAGTCAACTAATTGAAGTTTACGATGTAAAAGTAGACTGCCATGCTCAAACTACTGTAACACTCTTGAATTCACACATCACAAGACTGTGAGCTATTTCAGACTAACATATATGCTACAGGATTGGATGAGACTCATTTTTTTTTACCTGGTATGGGATCGGTGCCATTAAAAGTAAAAATGTTTTGACTTAGCTTTCAAAATATATTGGGCTTGGCAGTGTTCTAAAACTCTATTCTTCTGTAAACAGGATATCAACTGCTCAAGTAGGTGTCAGTTGTGAAGACAGTCTCCAGAGTCTTGGAAAAAGTGGCAATTCCTCTCAGGTGATTTATGCCCAAACAGTCTCTGAGGATGCGGAAGACAACGTCAATGGAATTGAAGCTCAGTGCGAACTGCTTGAGGAATATAAATCAGCAAACCGAGTGCAATCAAACAGAGCCAACATTGATATCCAAAGGGAATCTGGGAATAGCTCCGGCTCGTCCTTCAGCAACAAGTGCTATTTGGGATCAGACTCCAGTGGGTCCTCCTTTCTGAACCAGTCTATTACACACACAGCCTATCCCTCTAATGAGAGTGAGAATTCATTCTCTGCTTTGTCCAAAAACCTGGATCCAGTGATACCGACAGACTTTGACTACGGTCCGTGTAACGGCTGTTCAGTGTCAGTGGACTCGACCCAGTTCATGCCTCTCAGCACGGAGACTGTTGTGGTTCCTGGATATCAGAGCGTGAATGAGCTCCTGGACCACGGAAACAAACCAGAAGACCAAGCATTTATCAGCTATCACAATGATATTAATCTGATCATGGCAAAGACTATTCCAAAGAATCCACAAAGCGTACCTTCACCTGCCGATGACAACATGATTATCCCAGTTGATGATAGTTATCAGTCGTTTCCAAGCTTGGACCAAAACACATGGAGCACTGAACTGGAACAGAACATCGCCCAGGCTGTAGCTCAGACAGCCTGCCATAACATGAGCTGTGTCAGTCAGCAGGTACTTGCACCGTCATTGAAAGGTCCTTGCGGTCCTGTTTTGAATATTTCTCCAGGCATTCAAATCGACTGTTCTTATCAAAGGGTGTGACATCACAGCTCAAAATAAAACATAATAAATTGTATGTACAATACACTGTAATATAGAATATGAATATAATACAAAAAAGAATACTTACGCACTTTCTATTAAGCACTGCTGTTTACATTCGTATGCAAAGGTTGATTTTCTAAACGAAAATAAGTTAATACATCTACAGGGAACAATATGGCATTTTTCTGTCAATTATAGTGCACAATTTCTGTTTACTTCTGTTTACAGTTTGACATATTATAGAAAAAAATAAAACATAGATTATAAACTGTATATATGTTTGTATCTCATAACATTTGTACAGGCCACATTTTATGTTTTCCATTATGCTAAATTCAGCGAATAAACAGTAATTGTGGATCAGCCAAACATGTCATTCAACCAGGGGTGCCCAACATTTTGCATACTACTATATACTGAAAGGTGTCTTATGTGGAGATTCTTATGTACATTCTTCCTAATACATTCCTATGCACCTCGATAAATAGACATGCACAAATACGTGAAGTCTATGAGTTAAAGCTGTAAATTCATCAAATATATGATTCTTGAAGGGAACAGATTAGATATCTCTTTTGCCAAACATGACTATTATATGAAAATATAAGAATAAAATATAGCAACAATAAGAGGGCATTTCACTGTACTGTTTACATGCAGTACCACTGTAAACAACACACTTGCCTGAAATGATACTGTATATGACAGAGCTGGTGACTGCGTTATACTATAACTGTTGTCACAGTCTGTTTAGTTTACACAAGTCTGGAGAGTCATTTCTGTGAATGTTATCCTACTAAATAAGAAATGATGCCGTGTATGAGACTATGTACACTATATACGAAGTGGGTTGTCATGTACCTTATATGTTATCATGCACTTCACAGCTCTTTATAAAGGAAAGGCATTAAAAAGCTTTTTATTGCTTATGAGGATGTCATGTCACATGTTTCTTGTGGTATTGAGTGTAAAATCAACAGGCTGTCTAACTACGTATGTTTTTAACTGCTGGTAGTAGAGATGGCATGTTGGTGTCAATTTGGATATTTGGCCGATATTAGTAGAAAAATTAGAGGGCCAGTAAGAATGAATCCGGTCCAGCTAGCACACACTCACATTGTTGTCATGTTAGCTGTGTATTTCTTCTGTTGGGGAAGGAGAGTGTAAAATGAGTAGATTGTAGGGGATTCACAAAATTCAGAACTGAGTTTGATGATAGGAGTGAAATATGCCTTATTTTAATGTTTCCACTTTGTTTATTAAATCATTCAGCATTAAAAATACAATATTTGAAACAAAAGCAATGTCCTTATGTATTGCTATAGCCACAAGCTAACACATTTGCCACAAGCTAACATGCTAGTCATGATACAAAGATACATTATTATACAAAAGAGGATATACTCATATACAATTTGATACAATATAATACACTGTGATATAAATCAATACAATATGTGCTGTATTGTCACGTACTTAGTAGTTTGAGAAAGAAAGCCCACTTTTAGATGATCTTCTTAAGTTCCTTAATTAAAAACAGCTCAATTTAAAACTGGTTGATACTCAAGGTTTCAGTATCAAAACCGGAAAAGAAAAAAGTGGTGTCGTATCGTTCGTAGTGATATTTAGTGTTAAAGAGCAGTGTAAATTCAGAAACTCTGACACGACACCAGGGCCATCATGAGACTTTGTGCAAGACTGCTTATAAATTACTCTTGTTAAAGAGAAGCAGCAAGCGCTCTCCAAGCCTGAGTACATGGCTGAACAACCACACGGCTAAATATGGTAAAGCATTACAGAGCTGACTGAGAACAACTAGATCATTTAACCTTGATAACCATGTGCTATAATCACAAAGCAGGGTTTTGGAAGCACAAGTTTTCCATGGAGGCCCCAGTTGCAGGTTTGGATTGCACAATGTGGTGTGTTTAGTAGTCCAACTACCTGATACGACCTGAGTAAAACAAGTTCTGTCTTATTCCTCACCGTCCTCATACAAGTGATGAGCAGTTTGAAAAAGAGAGTTTGTATTTTATATATATAGTCGCGGTCAGAACAAAACCTTGTATCTCCAAAACAGTAACTTGAACTCCAACATTGCTTGGACTTAAGGTTAGCATTTCTGTCGGTCTGTTCATCATGAATTTTTAACACAATGAAAAGTGTAACTGCAATATTCAAATGCAAATGCAAAAAGGACAATTGGATGTTTTTCAACAAGGTTTTTGCATGACAGCAACTATATAACGTATATACTTCAGATTAGACACAAAATAATCCACTTGAATATGCAAGGGGAAAGTCAAGAAAAAATTAACTGAGTTTCCAAAACTGAAGTTCAAGAAAATGTTGTTTTTTTTTCCTTGAAAAATGAAGAAATTTGACTTAATGCCATTTTGTCTGGAAATAAATCAATGAAAGTGTGGTCTCTGACTTTGTAACATAGAATAAACATAGAGTAAACAATTTGTAATTTTGGACCATGGTCCATTCAAACAATGTAAAGGCCAGCTGGCATTTTAAAATTTGCAATAATGAGACTCTGTACTATACTACACAGTCTGCAGCCCACATATGGTCATGCACAATTTGTCTGTTGCCATTTATACAGTTCAACACATTAGTTTTTATGGGTGGGAGTGATGCTAGTGTGAGTTTATCAAGCACAGCAGAGGCCCAACATTTGTGGTCAGACACTGCCCACTAATGAAGGGCTGAAAGCCAGTGAACATGTTGCAGGCTATAGTGTCTAATGATAAATCATCATAGGAGCACCACTTGGAAGCATTTCTAAAGTGGCTGGCGTGTGTGTGTGCATTCAGAGTATCAGCTGTCTCGGCCGCAGTGACTCACTGACTGCGTTTATCTTCTTGTAATGCGCCTAAGCACTACGGGTGAGTGTGTTTGGAACAAGCCATGATGTGATTGTTATCATTTTAATGCTGTTTGTGCTGTGGACAAGAGGATGTTTATTCATCAGTAAGGACATTCTGTTTAAAAAGTACTACATTAAAGTTGTCTGTCACCGTCAGAGACATCACCATCATACACCATCAGTAATAAGAACTCACAAAAACATTAATTAAAAAAAGGCCTCAAGCAGTGCCGGTTCTTATATTCTATAGTTATTTGTTAGATAAGCCTATATAATATTGCAGGATATTCTATTAGGCCAAAGTAATGTATAATGTTCAGTCAAAGTGAGACAGGGCAGGTATAACAATTATAGACATAGAAGGGGGAGGAGTAACAGGATGGCTGGGATGTGCCATTTTCCATGTGGGCTGAAAAACAGCAACAAGGCTGCTGATAATGAGACGAGACAGCAAGCTGCATGTAGCTACATGTTGCATTGCCCATAAAAGCCATCATTATGCAAGTGTGAGCAAGTTTTTAAAAAATGTTGGAAAACTTTTTCACTTGCTTACTGCTGCTAGAGTTCACATTAGGACTATGCTGGCTAACTTTCAGTCTTGAGGTCAATCATAAATGGCTATGCAGCATATTACATAGGCAGTGACATGATGAACTCTACAACCCAAATGATGCAAAATATGAAAAAAATTGAAGCCATTTGTGTTTCAGCCAGCATATGTAAGTCAAGTTTTGACTGACAAATAGTCCTACTTTGTCAACATGTCCATCCATAGTGCATATTTATAGCTTGCTCACTACATAAAACTTTAGGTAAGATATTGTGATAGCCTAAATGACCTTACCAGAAAATGTTACCCACATTAAAACAATAGGTAGGATATTGTGATGGCCTAATCACCTCATCAGTAAATGCTACCAGCATTAAGACTACTGGTAGGATATTTTGATAAACTTAGGCTATGTTCACATTACCAGGCTGGAGTGGCACAAATCAAATTTTTTTGCATTAATGTGAAACAGACCAGATTTTTTCAGAGCTGTGTGGACAAGCAAATCAGACCTTTTCATAACAGATCTGGGCCACTTTGGCTGTATTCATATTACAAGCCTTATTGTTCAAATCCAAATCCGCTCTTTATAACATGAAGGTTCATGTTCTTGGCTCAAATCGGTCATTAATGTGAACAAACATGCGTCCTGAAACCACTCGCATGCACACATCCTAAACAGTAATGTCACATGAATGAATCTCACGTGTCATGGACAGCAAACAAACCTAACAGCACAACAAGACTTCCCTGTGAAGATAATTATCTCTGAATAGCTCTCAAGCAAGATGAAGGTGAAAAAGGGTCAGATGATTTTCCAACGTTCACTGGCACTGACTTCAAGTTAGGCCAGGGCTGGGGAACTCTAGTCCTAAAAGGGCATATTCCTGCACAGTCCGGTTTGTCCGGCTTCCTGCTCAAACATACCTGATTCCACTCAGTTAATTACCAGTTAATTACCAGGTTAATTATCCAGGTTTGGTTGGTGTGCTACAGGAAAATCACCAAACTGTGCTGGACCATGGCACAGTTTCCCACCCAATCAGATCCAAACCACATTTGGAGCTGGTTTGAAATGCAATTCCAATCAGACCTTTACAGACCTTTACAGTCTGGACACACTGTATTTTGTATTTCTGTATTTTGCCTCACTCGCAACGCGACAAACAACAACAATGTCAAATCCAGTGTGATGCAAGTGCTGGGATTTAAGAAGAGCACCAAAGATTCATGCTTATGCCAGAGAATTGTGAAGAGTTTAGAGGGTAAGATGATGCAAGTTTATCTCTCCTGCATCCATGTTTGAAATCAGCATCACCAGCGTACCGACGCCTACATCCTTACCACAGCAACCCATACAGATAGGTTGGTGATGGCTGGATGCACAAATCCAATCTGATCACTGGCCAACAACAATGTGGACAGTCATCTCAAACAATCTGATTTGAGCAACAAATCTGAACATAGCCAAAATGGCTCCGATCTGATTTGAAAAGATCTGATTTGTGTGTCCACACAACTCTACAAACATCAGGTCTGTGTCACATCAGGGCAAAAAATCACATTTGTGCCACTTCGACTTAGTAATGTGAACGCAAACCAGATTTTTTCAGAGCTGCTAAGTCTGTTGTTCATGACGCACATGGTTCATTTATGTGACCCTATTAGGATGTGCGTATGCTGATCGTTTCAGAATGCAGACTCATTCACATTAATGACAGGTTTGAGTTACTTACCTACACAAATGTGAACCATCAAATTAAAAAGATTAGAACTGAGAAAAAATTTAAATTGAGCAATAAGACTTGTAACATGAACGTAATAAGAGTAATCAGAGTAAACTGAGTCTGTATAAAACGTGAAGTAAGGCAGAATCAAAATAAAAAAAAACAATAAAACATTAGAAAAAACGTAGGTACTAAACTATACTAATGATGTGCGCATGCAGGGTAGGACGGCTTGGGCAGGGCGAACTGGCCCCAGTCCTTCAACAGAGCTCCTAAAACACCTGTAAAGTTTCACAGCACTGTTTATTCCTGAAACCATTATTGCAAACCATAAATTCAGCATCATGGTCTGAATTGCATGAGCTTTTTTTCTGTTTCAGTTGAAATGGTTTAACTACACCCAAATGCAGTATAGATTACGCAAACAAACCTTTTAGGTCCTGCTTATAGAGAAATCAATACTCCATTATCTATATGTGACTGGGGGACATTTATCTGGCCAGTACATCATAAACTTTTCTAGTTCTTCTGTAAATTCAGCCTGAATACTTTACACATCACATCCCTCTGCATCCTAACAAAAACAGTACAGAAAAACAAGAACACTTTTTTGTTCTTATCATGTTTACTTTCTCCCCCTCCTTTAGTTTTTAAGAGTTCCATCTAGTGGATTCAAAAGGAATAAAGAGAGTACAGAGAGAAAATGGACAGCAGTTAAGTATAGCCTTCTCAAACAGAGCCGTATTTTTACAGTGTAGCAGTGAAAGATCTGAAACAGAAAGAGTCGGGAACAGTCGGGAAGAGGCGGAGTTTTCTGGGTGGTGACTGAGCTTCCAGGGAACTGCACAGCAAGAATATTGCAGTGAAACACACACATTTCACAATTCTTTAGACAGAGAAGTACAATCAGACATGTTCATTTCTGTTGTTCCCTTCTCTCATAAAAACACTGGTCCTCAGTTTAACAGTGAATTTTCCTCGTTTAGTTTCTCCGTTTTGAGAACATCTACATGGGTAAGTTTTTTTTTTTTTTTATGCTTCTACAGTCCTAAGAGAGAGGGAGACCTACTGTTAACAGGAAATGGACAAAAATACTTTTTTAGCCAGTGACTCTTTTTACAAAGTTTTTTATGTGCTACAAATTCTACATTTAAGTTTGCTTACTGTGAATCAAAGATATTTCTATAACTTGTCATTTACAGTGAAATTAAGCACAGACTTTTTGACTACAATGCATACCACAATTCTTCTTTTGCAACTACTCTTCATTCCTTTCGCCCTCCCAGAATCTTATGGTGAGTTTTCTGCTGTCATTATCGGTCATACCTATTTGCATAAATAAGGATAATATCACTCTGACCAAGTCACAGATTGAAATACAGATGAAATTAAGCTTTCAGTGAAGAAGCTTTCTTGTAATCTGTTGAGTCAAGGATCAAGTCTTATCTCAATACAGATCAGTAAAATGACATATTACTATTAACTGAATAATTACAAAAGCTGTTATATGACCAATGTTAACTGTTTCAAAACCCACAGTGAGTGATCTGACATGCTTCAACGATTATGATACAGAGATGAAGTGCCACATGATTTCAGGCAAACTCCACTGTACTGAATATAAACTCAATGTATCTCACAATACGTACAAACAACAAACGTGAGTTCTTCATGTCAGTAATGATTTAGACAAACTAAGTTAACATTTTCTTAGTGTATTAGTTCTGTGCGTAACATTGTCTTTTCCTACTTTCCAGATATTCATGCAGTTTTGAACGTTTCCCACCCAAAGCCTGTGAATGCAAATTCCAAGTGCCAGGCTTTGTCCTTACAGAGAACTTCACAGCTATTCTGTATAGAGAGGAGAAGCTTTTGTTCACTAAAAACATTAACACTGATGAAAGCAGTAAGTCAGTTCTGGTGAAACACTTGTAGTACAAACATTGTATGATTGTGATGCTCAGTAGTGACTAACTATGTTTACTCAGTTACACCATGGATGTTGCTTGAGTGTTCAAAAATGCTATTCCTCTTACTTCTACTCAAGTGTATTTTTGAGGAAAAGAATCTAGGTTTTACTCAGTTATTATTTTAGTCATTAATATTTAGTTACTAATTTTCTTCATGATGTCATGCTGAAATTTTGTAATGCTTTGTGATTGGTTACACCACTGGCTTTTAAAGTTCATCATTTTATCGTAGATCAAAATGAGAAAAATAGAGCTTAACAAACTTAAGTTTCTATGCTGATAGATGCTGGATGTGCTAAGAAGTTTTTCTGCGGTTCTAAGTGTTACTGAGTGCCTAGGTGGGCTTTTGGCCTGTTACTTTTGTGTTTTTTACCCCAGTTGTTTTTTGGAAAGGTAATTTTACTTTTACTTGACTCATTATTTTTTTACAAAAGTAACAATACCTTTATTGAGGCTTTAGGCTGCCCTGCTGTCCTCTAGTGATGCATTATCTGCTGTCCTGTTAATCTAAATCTATATTTTGCTGTCGAATCTGTAAAGCTTGTTGTAAAAGCCTGTTGTAATCTGTTATCAGTGTCTTCTGTGTGTTTGTGGAAATGGAGATAATAACAGAAACACCCAATGATATATTTCTGAAGGACACCTAATAAGAAGTAGAGCAATCTTTAGCCTTAAAACAGTTTCAGTTTCATTCCTTCTTGGAATGATGCCATACAAGTGGGGTGGGATTTCTTCAATATGCACATTCTTCCAGAAGAGCGTAGGAAGATTACTTTATATTTTGTACTAAAGAGCTGAAATGATGTTTAGATTGGGTGGCAGTGGGCCTGAAAGGCATTTAACTTTTTCCTTGTTTTCATGAAAATCACTCTTGAATTTGTTTAGCAGTGTGTATGGGGGCAATATAGACACATGGACACATGATGCACAGTCAGGAACATCAGGAACAGTGTATACTCCACAGGGTGCACAAAAAGCCATCATATTCTTTTAGTCCTTAAACAAAAATCACACTTGATTTGTCCACATAGCCATCTTAGCTAAAGTACTTCAGTAAAAACTAGCTGCTAAAGCTTAGTAGACTTTCAAGAAAAAAATCAAATGTCTGATGATACACAAGTTTTCATTTTTGGTATTGGGAAGAAAAAGTGGTAATGTGTCATCTCTAGCTGGTTGTTCAGCTAATGACAAGCTGAATGCTGTGGTTATTTCAGAGGCCAAACAGCTGTTTTTGTGATCACTGCACCGTCAATTAGTTGCTTCATGTTGCTCAATCATCTCACTCTTTTGTTGCACACACTACTTGCTTTTAATGCATTATCCATTGGCTCTTTGGCTTTTTAGTGGTCATGACCCTATTATTTCAGTCTAACAGCACTAAATGAAATGTCACTTTACACATTTGCCACAAGTTTTATAACTTCTAAAACATTGTGGATTTTTTTTTTTTTGTATTATGAAATTTATTTTTGTTTGTTTGTTTGTTCATTTATCCAGATAGAAAAAGTCATGGATTTCATCATATTTTCATGCACAATAATGTCAAAATTATATCAGTATTGGCAGATATTTGCTTAAAATAAAAAGTTTGACATTGATGTTTAGATTTGAATTATATCTGAAACCAATATGTAATGACATAGTTATTGTACTGCTGAAGAGCAGAATGTTGAGGCAATGCTGGGTAACTGCTCTAAAATATCTGCATTTTATTCATTTGACTGCATCTGTAACCTTGCAGAAAGAAGTAGTTCTCAGAAATGCTCATCCAGGTAGATGTACTTGAATCTGTAGACTGTATGTTGCATAGTTTGTTCTTTTTGGAGTTGAATGGAGTTACTACTTTGTTATTGTTACCTAATTTTTAATAATATAAATCAGTGTTTTCTTAGGCTCTTGTACATTTATAACCAGTATCTTCAAACTGTATACCTTTGTATATCATGTTAACATCATGAGACTGTAGTGTTCCACCATAGGGTGCATGTAAAATGGATTTTCTTCTGTTTTGAATCTTTTAAAAACTTGTATATCAAAATGTTGATTGTCATTTCTATAGTTGACATGATGTACAATATCACCGTTCCCTTCTTATCCATGTGCCATTTCCACTATTGTGTCCAACCTCTGTGGTTTTCAGAGATTTTTGTATTTAATCAAGAGTGGTAACTGTGCATAATGCAAGTATGTAGCTGACTATGTATTTCTTGCAGTCAAACCCAAACAACCAACCATCATATCAGTCAAGCTGACAGAAAATGGAAACTTTCGTATTACCTGGGACACCAACTACACATCACATCACATCACATCACATCACGATAAAGAACCATTTTCTGATAGTCTGAGGACGGAGCTCACCTACGGTGTTAAAGGAGGCGAAGTCAATGTAAGTGAACTGGTTAAGCATGAATAAGCATACATCCCTTCACACACACCATTTTACACAAGTACAATAAACCCAGGAAATGATTCATTTTTCATTAGTCCACACAGGTGATACCTTTGGAAAAAGGACGAACTGAATATGAGATTGTGAGTAGAAACCTTCAGCCCAACTCCGATTATGTCGTAATGGTAAGAGTGAGCACAGACTACAACCAGAATTCGAGGTTCAGCGACTATAGTCAACCATATGAGTTTAAAACACGTAAGTTTTCATAAGTAAGACTCTCATTAAACCACGTACTGAAAAATGATTGTGTATCTAACTGGGTTACATGTTTGTGCACCCACAGCTGTATCCAGAAAGACTGTTCTCAAGATATTAATTCCCATCTTATGCATCATTCTGATCATCTTTATATCCACCACTTTCTGCTGTTACAACAAGTAAGACCACTTTCACTTCTAATATCCTTGTGTGTGCCCACCCACCCTCACATTCATGTAATGATATAGTGCTTTGTTTGGTGAGATACTCATGCCTATTTGCTCATACGTCCTGAGGCCAAGCTAATTTGATTGATTAAGGTAAATTCAACTGGACCTGTAGATGATAGTTAAATGACAGCCGTTTTCACTTTTTTTTACAGAATGAAGAGAGAGTTGTGGGATACATATCCAACTCCAAAAATCACTTCGAGTTTTAAAAGTCAGGTAAAAAACACTCATGTTAAGAAAACTCATGGTAATGTTCCTCAAAAAAGGAGTGGAGTTTATTATCTGAATCTGCCTTGCTTTTGATTTACTGTTTATCAGATTGACATCTTGCTTCCCTTTGAAAATGAGTTCTCTCCCATCCATGTTGAAAAGTCTTCACTGGGATTGACTGGGAACAAAACTTGGTAATGTTTTGTTTTATACTCTTGAAATGAAATGGCTTAGCTTGTAATGTCAACTCCACTCTGAAACTCCTTTGTTCTTCCTCTAAAAGGTCATCTTCATCTCAAGCAGATGTCAGCAGAGAACAACATAATCGCCAGAGTATTAGGAGCAGTGTTGATTCAGCTTCAGGGGGACATGCTCAAGTGCACTCTGGCAGTGTGGGTCAGGACAAAGTCACTGTAAATGCTGCAGTAAATAAGCTGGAAACATCAATGTCCTACAACACACTTGAAAATCAATCAAGAGCCACTGTCACAGTCAACTCCACCTGTGGAACTGAACAGGATTCGGAGGATAGCTCAGGATTGTTGTCCTTCAGCAACAAGTGCTATTTTGATGCAGCCTTCTCTTTGTTGACCCAGCCCTCTGACTCTTGTAAGAAAGAGAATTCGCTCCCTGCTTCAACAAACCTTGCTCCTATCTCAGTGTGCAACAAAGTTCATAACAATGTGCTATCAGACGGAGCCAACACTGAAATCCAAAGGCAATCTGGGAATAACTCTGACTCATCCCTCAGCAACAGGTGCCTTTTGAAATCACACTCCGACAGTTCCTCCTTTCTGCACCAGTCTATTAAGAATGACAATTCATTCCCGGCTTTGTCTGAAAACCTGGATCCAGTGATGCAGACGGACTTGGACTATGGTCCGTGTTCAGGGCCTGCAGATGCTAATTGACTCAGTCCACACCCTTCAGAACTGAGATTGTTGTGGTTCCTGGATTTCAGAGTTTGAATGAACTTTTGGACCACGGAAACAAACCAGAAGCAGATGCATCTGTAAACCAAGCATTTATCAGCTTTCAACCTCTTCCAAGCTTGGACCAAAACACATGGAGCTCTGACCGCAGCACTGAACTAGAACAGAACATCGCTCAGGCTGTAGCTCAGACAGCCCACCACAACATGAGCTGTGTCAGTCAGCAGGAACATGCACCAACATTCAAAAGTCTTTGTGGTCCTGTTTTGAATATTTCTCCAGGCATTCAAATCGACTGTTCTTATCAAAAAGTGTGATGTCACAGCTTCAAATAAAACATATTAGTTGTATGTGCAATACACTGTAATATAGAATGTGAATAGAATACAAACTTTCTGTTAAGCACTGCTGTTAACATTTGTATGTAAAAGTTGATTTTCTAAGCAAAAATCAGGCAACACATCTTCTACAGGGAACAATATGGCATTTTCTGTCAATTTTAGTGCACAATTTCTGTTTACTTGAGTTTGACATATTGGAGGAAAAAATAAAACATTGAGTATAAATTGAATATATATATGTATATCTGTCCTATAACATTTATACAGACCACATTTAATGTTTATGTTTTCCATTATGCTAAATTCAGCAAAAAACAGTAATTGTGCATCATTCAGACATATTCAAAACCCAAATTTTTGCATACTACTGTATACTGAAAGGTTTCTTATGTGGAGATTCTTATATGCATTCTTGCTAATACACGCCTATGCACCTCGATAAATAGACATGCACAATTACATAAAGTCTGTATGAGTTTATCATTCATTCTCTCGCATTGACTTATTTCTTACAAGTAACTCCATCATATCACAAATATCAACATCAACAATCCATCCAATAGTAATCGCTGATCATGCCCCAATTACTTTTAATTTTAGTGACATTCAAAAAACCACAACAAGGCCAAGATGGCAATATAATACACTGATCATCAAAGACAAAGAATTCAATATGTACTTTAAAAATTAGTGGACATCCTTTATGGAAACCAACGATTTACAAGAAATGTCTCCCGCATTATTATGGGAAACATCAAAAGCAGTGATGAGAGGAAAAATCATATCATATTCAGTACATGAGAAAAAGAAGGATTAAGAACAGCAAAATTACCTAGAACAACATTTAAAGCAACTCCAGTGTTTATATGCAGAAAATCCCATTGAAAAAATTCATAAAAACAGTAAAGAGACTAAAGCCCAGCTAGATACTCTTATCTATCAAAAAACACTTTTACTTTTTCCGACTACACAATCATTTTGAGCATAATGACAAATCAGGAAATTTTTTAGCAAACCAAGTAACACAAAACAAAGAAGTCAAGTCAAAGGTTATTTATATAGTGGTTTTTACAACAGGTGTTGTCACAAAGCAGCTTTGCAGAAGTTCCCATGATCAAGCCAATGGTGACAGTGGCAAGCAAAAACTCCCTAAGAGCAAAAGGAAAAAACCTTGAAAGACTCAAAAGGGGAGCCCATCCTCCTCTGGTCGACACCGGATAGGACACTAACTAAGTATAAACTATTAAAATACAGAAACGGGGAAAAACAGGTGAAGCAATGGTTATAATTAAATAGTTTAAGTCTATGCAGCAGCAGCAGCAGTATCATCAGAAAGGGCAGTTTATGCAGGTGAGAAAGAAAAACACACTATAACCACTGTACAAGACTCATCAGGGAACAACACCCAAAATCCAAAAGTAATAAATGAAACTTTTGAAAATGACTGTAAGACCTTATATTCAAGAATACAGCTACAAAACAATTTGAGATTGATGCTTTTCTTGATGATATCACCCTTCTTATGTTAAATAATGATCAAAGACACTCTTTAGAAGCACCATTAACTGAAGAAGAATTTAGGAATGCATGGATGGTATGGATGTATGGATGGTTTCCCTGCTGAATTCTATAAACATAAATGGCCAACCATTTCCCCCTGTTTGTAAGGATGGTCAGTGAAATAAAAAGAACTTCCTCTATTCCATCCCAAATGAATACAGCACAAATTTCAGTATTACTTATTGTGACAGAAAATCAGACGCTTGCGGATGAAAAAATGAAGGTGGTTTATTAACAACAAACCCACCGGAAGCAAAAGGGCACAACTCAAATCAAAGTCAAAAACACAGTCCAAAAGTCAAAACACAGATTCGTCAGAACAGCGAAAGTACCAAGAGAAGAGGCAAAAAGTCAAAAACAGAACAAACGAAGCAAAGGTCAAAACACGGAGTATAATCAAACAGGTAAATAATGCTCAGTAGGTTTCTAGGAAACAATACCTCGCAAAGATTTCAGACTAAAGCCTGGGCTTAAATACTGCTAACTATCTGTCATATGATCATATGCACAGGTGAACATAGTTAGTACTCAGGGGATTGAGAGCGCTGATAGGTTCGGCGGTGAAAGTCCAAAATCACATGAGACCCCATTGAATTCTGGGCAATGGAGTTCTCTCTGGAGCTGGATTCTGAGTGCGGATGTTCAGTCATGTGATCTCCCAGAGGATTTTGGGAGATGAAGTCCGTGTCTTCCATAGAGTTGACCGAATGCGTGACAGTACCCCACCCCAAAGAGTCCGGGTGGGTCTCAGAAAGAGGACCACCAGGACGACCGCCCCTCCCATCACCGGGTCTATGAACAGGGGCTGAACCAGGGCTGCCGAGACGCTGGACTGTTGAACGCTCCTCTCTGGGGTTCCTCAGACGGGCAGGCAGAGAACAGGTGAGCTTCCTACACGGACGCCCCCGGGGATGAGAAGCTGGCCTTTCTGGGTGCCGAGAATGAAAGTCTCGAATGAGACCGGGGTCCAGCACGTCCTTAGCCAGCACCCAACATTGTTCCTCGGCGCCATACCCCTCCCAGTCCACCAGGTATTGGAGGAGCCCGCCACGTCTTCTGGAGTCCAGCAGTCTATGGACAGCGTAGACCGGAGCCCCCTCTATCACCTCCGGTGGCGGGGGCGTGGCGTCTGGTGTTGCCTCATCCAAGGGCCCTGTAACCACAGGTTTAAGAAGAGACACATGAAATGAGCGAGAAACTCTGAATTGAGGGGGTAAATCTAGATGGTAAGTCACATCATTTATACGTTTAGTTACTTTGAAAGGCCCAATATATTTAGGCAGGAGCTTACGACAACTTCCCTCTGGTAGTCAAAAGTCCTTTGTGGCCAACCACACTCGGTCTCCAGGATTGAAGGCAGGGGTAGGACCCCGGTGTCTGTATGCTTGTTCCTTCTGACGTTGAAGCACTGTTACAATACGTTGATGCATCTGCTCCCACACAGGAACATCAGTTCGAACTCCAGTCCAAGGTGCAAGAGGGGGTTGGTAGCCTAAAATGCACTGAAAAGGAGTCAACTCAGTAGGAGAACTAATCAGCAAATCTGTGCTATTTCAGCACAAGTCAAAAATCTGGACCAATCAGAAGGGTTATCATAGCAGAACAGTCTCAAAAAATTTTCCTAGCTCCTGATTTGCCCTCTCGCATTGTCCATTAGATTGTGGATGATACCCTGACAATAAGCTTAGTGATACACCCAGGTGTTCGAAAAAAGCCGCCCATACCTGTGAGATGAACTGAGGTCCCCTATCTGACACAATGTCCTCTGGGATTCCGAAAATTTGGAAAACAAACTGGAACAGGGTTTCTGCGGCCTGAAAAGCACTGGGAAGTCTAGCAAAAGGTATAAAACGTACCCCTCTAGAGAATCGATCTATAATGGTCATGATAGTAGTAAACCCTTGCGATTCAGGGAAATCGGTGACAAAATCCACCGCTATGTGGGACCATGGTCAGTTGGGTATAGGTAAAGGCAGTAATTTACCAGCCGGTAGCATTTTGGGGGTTTTACACTGGGCACATGTTGAGCAAGAAGATATGAAAGAATGAATGTCTTGGTTCATCGATTCCCACCAGTACCTATTAGCTAAAAGTTTGTGGGTGCGGGTCTCTCCTGGATGGCCTGATGTTAATGATGAATGAGCCCAAGTGATCAAGGAGGTTCTAAATGGCTCGGGTACATAAAGTTTCCCTGTGGGATATTGGTCGGGTACTTGAATGTGGGGCAATGCTCTTTCAATTTCCTCATCTATTTGCCACCGGATAGAAGAAATATTCACCTCTGGCAGGAGGATCCGTTCAGGAAACGCCTTGTCTAGAAAACATCAACGGGAGACATCCACTCCTCTGAGATAAGACTGCCCCTACCCCTGTTTCAGATGCGTCTACCTCAACTAAGAAAGGTTGTGTGGGGTCTGGGTGTGCCAGAATGGGAGCAGTAGTGAAAGCCTCTTTGAGAGCCTTGAAGGCCTTCTCAGCCTGTTTGTTCCAGTTGATCTTCTTGGGATTTCCCTTTAATAGAGAAGTCAGCGGGGCTGCTATGGTGCTGAAGTTTCATATGAACCTACGGTTAAAGTTGGCAAAACCTAAAAACCTGTAGCTCTTTTACGGTAGTGGGCTGGGGCCACGCGACCACTGCCTCCACCTTGTGGTCGTCCATGACAATCCCTCGCTGGCTAATGATGTACCCCAAAAAGGAAACTGATTGTAGGTGAAACTCACATTTTTCCCCCTTGAGGAACAGATTATTCTCTAAGAGCCATTGTAGCACGGCCCAGACATGTTGCACATGTGTGTCAAAGGAAGGGGAGTAGACGAGGATGTCATCCAGGTAGGCGACTACAAATTGCCCTAGCATGTCTCTAAGGATGTCATTTATGAATGCCTGGAAGACAGAGGGGGCGATAGAGAGTCCAAATGGCATCACAAGGTACTCATAGTGCCGTCTTCCATTCATCACCCTCTTTAATTCTAATTAAATGGTAAGCACTACGCAGGTCTAACTTGGTGAAAAACTGGGCCCCTTTAAGCTGTTCTAATGCTACAGGGACTAGAGGTAATGGGTAAACCTTGGATATTTGGTTAAGGGCTCAATAGTCTATACAGGGGCGTAGTCCACCATCTTTCTTCTTAATGAAGAAGAAACTAGAGGCGATAGGAGAAGTGGAGGGCCTGATAAAACCTTGTTCTAGAGCTTCTTCTATGTAAACATCAAGGGCTTTTTGTTCTTCTTGTGTTAAGGGATACACCCTTGCTTTGGGTAGCACTGGGTCCTTTATGAGTTCGATGGCACAGTCATAAGGCCTATGAGGGGGCAATTTTGTCGTATTTTGTTTGTTAAACACCTCCTTCAAGTCTGTATATTCAGGAGGAATTTCAAAAGGGGAATCTGAGTTGGGGCTCTCAATAGTGGTAGAACCAAGGGAAATGGAAGGGGTGTTAATGCAGTTCTGTAGACAAAAATCAGACCAGTGGGTAACAGTATGTTCAGACCATGAAATTGTAGGGTTATGCTTTTCCAACCATGGGAGTCCTAGGATCATTTCAAAGTCTGACTGTTCAAGTACTAGGAAGGACAGGTTCTCTGAATGCAGAGCACTAATATGGATCTCCAATGGTATAGTTGCTTGGGAGATGGTTCCCAACCCCCCTGGTTCTCCATCTAACGCAGTCACTCTTAGGGCTGTTTGGAGGGTCTGTACTGGAA